CTATGAGTCGGGGCCGACTCGACGGCACATAACAACAACAACAACAGTGGAAAAATCTGAACGCAAACAATGAGTATGGAGATTGTGGGAGCAGTGGACTGTCAGCTATTCTGATGGGACCAACAGCCTGAATATTTCCAAGTGATGTTGGGACCTGAATATTGACCTAAAGATAAGCCCTGGTCGCCAAGGACTGCAGGGATGACTGCACTGGTGGCCTATGACTAGGAAAGGAAACAGCAAGGAGGGAGACAACCTGAGCTGTGGACTTTCCGCTGTCCAGAGGGCACAGCCGTTTTGACTGTTTACAAGCTGTAACCATTTTGGATATTTAAAGTGACCAAGGCACAGCCATTTCCAATCTTTACAAGCGGCAGCTATTTTGCATTTTAAAGTAGCAGCATTCTTATTCAGATTCCAGGGACCTAAGAATAGGCTACATTTGCCAAGGACGGCAGGGACATACAGGAAGTTGACAAAGGGAAAAGAGACAGGTGGTAAGCATGTAATTGCTACCAACTAGTGGACAGAGGAACACAGCACAGTACCCTGCTTATATAGATAACATACAAACAAAATAAAGAAAAAGAAAACAAAAATCGTGGGCAAGTCACTCCAACATACAATCACCAATTAAATATAAACACAAAAATGTCACAATGCCTCAGAAACAACAGAGCATCACAGTCCACACAAAAAAAGCAAGTTAAAGCAGGAGAAACAAGGGACCAGGATATAGATTCAAAACACATCCCTAAGGAAGACCCAGCTTTGGAACTCCCCGATAAGGCACTCAAAAGAATTATATTTATGTACCTTCAACGAATGAGAGACAGATCAAAGAAAATATTGACAAAATTGAGGAGAAAACCCTAGAACAGTTTCAAAAGACAATACAAGAACAAAATGACAAAATAAATGAAAAATTCAAAATGATACGAAATCTACACACAAAAATCCAGAAGATTAATACTAAATTTTAAGAAACAGATAACACACTGAATGAGCAAAGGAATAGAACTGAATCAGTGGAAGACAGAATTAGTACGATTGAAGGCAAATACCTCAATACTTCTTAGGAAATGGATCAATCACAAAAAAGATCAACAGAAAATGATGAAAGCCTAAGGTTCATGTGGGATACCATCAAAAGGAATAACCTATGTATTATCAGAATTCCAGAACAGGAAAAGACAAATAAAACCATAGAAAAAACTGTCAAAGATTTGTTGGAAGAAAATGTTTCTGGTATGATGAAAGATGAAACTATATCCATTCAAGCAGTCCAATGAACCCCAAACAGGACAGACCCCAAAAGAAAATCATCAAGACATATCATCATCAAACTCATCAAAACCAAAGACAGAAAAAAAAAGAATCCTGAAAGTAGCATGGGAAAAACAAAAAGTTACCTACAAGGGGCAACCAATAAGACTAAGCTCAGATTTCTCGGCAGAAACCATGCCAGCGAGAAGACAATGGGATGGTATATATAAAACCCTGAAAATGAAAAATTTCAACCAAGAATTATGTACTCAGCAAAAATGTTCCTCAAATATGATGGTGAAATTAGCACATTTCCAGATAAGCAGAAATTAAAGGAATTTGTTAAAACCAGACCAACCTTACAAGAGATGCTAAAGGGAGCCCTTTGGACAGAGAACCAACAACAGCAAGTAATAAGTGACCATTAACACACATGATGACATAACCCAGAAATCAACCCAGTCATAGAAATACCCAAAGTAAATAACCCTATAAGATTGTAAACAGAGAACCAGAGACCATCAAAATAAGGGCAATGACAAACCAAAAAGAGGGAAAATACTGTGTAGTTACAGAACCTCTAGATGGTAGGGAAGTCAAGACAACTACAAGATAGAATGGACTGTTCTAAACTTGGGAAAAAATTATAAATCACAGAGTAACCTCAAAGAAAAATGATAAACCTTCACATAAAAATTAAAAAGAGGAACAACACAAATATTTAGCAAATACTAAAACAATAGCAACGAAGGAAGTGATAACACGATTCAAAAACAAAACAAGCTCAGCCCAGAAAATTATATGGAACAAAGAAATCAATACCACAAAAAAGCACATAACAAAATTACAGCAACAAATTCATACTCGTCAATAATTACATATCTGGCAAGGGACTTATCTCTAAGATTTATAGAAAATTTCAATGCCTCAACAGCAAAGGGATTAACAATCCAATTGAAAAATGGGCAGAAGACATAATAGACACTTCACCTTTGTGGCCAGCAAATACATGAAGAGATGATCGTGATCATTGGGCATCAGAGAGATGCAAATCAAAACAACGTGATACCATCTAACCTCAGCACTGATGATAAGGTTCAACAAGATAGAAAATAACAAATGCTGGTGGGGATGTGGAGAGATTGGGACCCTCATACACTACTGGTGGGACTGTGAAGTACAACCACTGCAGAAAGCAGTATGGTAATTCCTTAGAAAGCTGGAATTAGAGATACCATTTGACCCAGCAATCCCCTTACTAGGTATATACCCTAGAGAGGTGAGAGCCAGGGCAAGAACAGATATATGCACATCCATGTTCATCACAGCACTCACTATTGACAATAGCAAAATGATGGAAACAACCTACATGCCCATCAACAGAAGAGTGGATGACCAAACTATGGTACACACATACAACAGAACGCTATTCGGCACTAAAGAATAACGTAGAGTTTGCAAAACACTGCATAACATGGATGAACTTGGAGGACATTATGCTAAGTGTAATAAGTCAATCACAGAAGGACCAATATAGTATTAGTTCGTTGTTGTGGAGGGTCAAGGAAAGGTTTATATATGAGGGAAAGTTTCTTTGCTGGCTGCCAGGGGTGGGAGGGAACACTGCAAAAAAAAAAAAAAAGAATGCATTGACCCATGTCACTTTAGTTTTGTGTATTTCACTATACATAAATTATATTTCAATAAAATGCATTAAAAAAAATAAAATGTCTTTTAGAGTTAATTTCAAAACTATATTCCAGAAAATAAGTATAAAAATGATGACACATGGAGTATGTAATTCACGTCAGTATACAAACCTGTAGTTCAGTAAGAACTGTTTTATGTCTTTTGTTACATTCAATCTTTTCCACTCGTGTTTTCAATTCTGCCAGAGTCTTATCAAACACAGCACACTGTAGCGTACACAATTTTTCTTCCAGCAACCACTGTACAACCTAAAGAAATATATATTCCTTTATTACTAGCAAAGAGGGAACTTTAATATGCAGCAAAGACTAAATATTCATTAAGCACTGATAAAAACTCTGAAAAACAAAAACTGGTAAGACAGCAGCAATACATTAAACCAGGGCTTTTAATGGCCCATTCCTGTTCGATACCCCTGCAAGAATTTTAATTTCCATCCCAGATAACGCTGAATTGGAATCTACAGTTTAACAAAATCTGCAAGAATCACCTGGGGATCCTGTTAAAATACAGATGCTGATTCAGTGTATCTGAGGTGGAAATACAAATTCTTTCCACAAGTTTGAACCAGAATGAACCAATTCAAAGCCCTGATACTAACTTATTTAATGAAGAAAACATGCTGGATTCCATAATGCAATGCTATCTGTTGAAATTCATAGCTTCTATAAATATCTACTTAAAAAGAGTAATATATACTAAAAATAGAAGATTTCCAGAGAGGAAAATTTTTTAAATAATTTGAAATTGAAGTTTTAGTATTTCTTCCCACATTGTTTACGTTCATGCATTGAAGCAGTTTATTCCCAAACCATAAAAAAAAAATTGAAGGAAAGGACTAATTTTAAATTTTCTAATCTAGTGTAGATTGATATTTTTGTGAGATACACTAAAAATGTGACTGTAATATCAAATTTCTATAAAGTATTTATAAATGCCTACTCTCAATTCCTTATTAAGCTCATCATGGACCCATAACAGGAGACTGGTGCTTGTCTGTGAACCACATTTAAATAACATTGTTCTAGAACCCTCATGAGAGCCTAGGTGCTGCAGTGGTTAAGCATTTGGGTGGTAACTGAAAAGTTGGTGGTTTCAACCCACCAGCTCCCCACCGGAGAAAGCTGTGGCAGTTTGGTCCCCTAAGAAAGATCACAGCCTTGGAAACCCTATAGAAGTTCTACTCTGTTCTATGAGTCAGAATCAACTCGACAGCAATGAGTTTAGTTCTTTCATAGATAAGGCAGACACAACTTTAATACATAAAAGTTTTCAAACTTCTTTCACATACCTACCTTCATAATGCTAACAGCTCTATCAGAAAGACTAAATAAGTATTATTACCTCATATAACAAAGAAATAAGAAACTGGAAGAAAAAAAAAGCTACCATTTAATTGCCTAACTATTCCTTTTCCTAGTGTGTGTATTTGTACTGTATCTTAGTAGAACACTGGTCTAAAGTAATATTATTTTGAGTTTCATCATTAAATACAAAAGACATCTTGAAAAATTATCTTCATCTGAGTTTCATATTCTTCTCTAAAAACAGAGCTTACTGTAACGTTTGTGAATACACTTTAAAAATTATATAAAACACTGCATATTCTCATTATTTCTATCTCTAGTGTAACAAATACAGGAGTGGGAAGTCCAAATATTCCCATTTCCTAGTCCTCCTAAAGGCCTTCTCCTACCATTTTTAATACTATGCCTATGGTATATAACCAAGATTTAGAATGTAGGGACTAGCTTATGATAAATACAAAAAGGTTAATATGTAAGACACTAATGTTCCCTTTTAATTAAAGAAAGTTCAATATGAGAAGAAAAAAGGAAAGCTGAAAACTGATACTGAGTTTTATTACTAAAGGAAAGAAAGAACTCATCATAACTATCACCTACAAAATCAAGTATGTAGCCATAAAAGAGTCAAAATACTTTTTACAATTAACTTCTCAAGAATAGTAATAGACTTTATAATTATAAGCACAACCAGTTTCTTCAAGTCCTCTCCTTCTATAATAAGCCTGAATATCAGTAAAATACAGAACAATAGCAAAGATCTGGAAGAATGAAGACTCTGATACATTTCATTTTCATTTATAATCTGTATCACCTTTTGTAGTTTCTGGTTAATGTCTCCTTTGGCTGTAATCTTTACTTGAAATTCTGCCTCATATTCTTCTTCCATGTACCGACGGCGTTTGGACTGTACATTGTCCATGTCCTCTGATTTAGAACGTTTTCTTCTGGAAAATTCATCTGAGAACAAAAAATATGATTAGTCAGGTATTTTATATTATAACATTAATGCCTATTCCTGATCCTCACCAAAATATTATTTCTATCACAATTGTATTCTTAACCAATTATTTTAGGTATTCTATTTTATGTATGCAATTATTTTATGTCATATTTATGTATCTCTTTTATGTTTTTTTTTTTTTAAATATAGGTAAGTAGCTTTTTGCATTAAGCTTGAAATGATTTTCAGTATGACAAATAAGAGATTCCTAATGACTAAGCAATGTAGAATGTGAACACAGAACATTCTTTCCTTGAAATCCTCGTTAAGATTGAGTTGTCTAGCAATTGTGTTATGTATAAGGGAGAAGAAATTATTTCATATTCACTTCCTATGCTAAATTTCATAAAGCACATGAATCGTCTAGCAAAATACAGTATTTATTTTCATATTTCTAACAACTGTGCATAGCTTTAATTATTTAATTCTTCCTCTTCAGTAAATATGAGAAAAATTATTACTTAATCAGCCTTAGGAAAATAACATAATAGTTATTCCTAACATAGCCTAAAGAATTTCAAATACATAAAATAAAATCGTCATTATAAAAGCACATTTGGCAAAGAATAGATATTTGAACACTTTTACTTATAGAATTTCTATTTCAAATATTACTGATATTCATAAGATCATAAGCAAATTTTATCTCATTTGTTTCAATATCTAAAACTGAAATTATTAAAATCTCTACATATTTTAAAAGGAAAATGCCTCATTTGACCATGCCTCTCTCTCTTCATCACCACCTATATATATGTCCCTATTTTCAAATCCAGATTGACTCTGTATCTTCTTATATTCAAATAACTTACTCAAGAGTACACAGAGAGTAACAAGACAGGAAGAGTGACAGATCCCAGGTTTCCCAATTTCTAGTCCAGTGATCTTTCTCATAAGCCTAACAATTCTCAGCCCCATCATTTCCCCTTCCTGTGAAACACATGAACCTAAGCAGACTGAAACATATTATAGGCCTACACAAAAATCTTATAGTCCAATGCTCTAAATGTAAATTTAAACAATTTCTCTCCAGACACTCAGATAGTAACTCACTAAATAGTAATTGTAAATCTTTCTTGTGGAACACAGAAAAGTATAAATAAAAGACTGAAGTATATGAGATAATTAATACTTTCAAAGAACTTTGGGTTAGCGATCAACATAATGATATAGTTGGGGCTTACTTAAATTGCAAAGTTTTACAATTATCTCATAGATAGAAATATTCCATGGTCTTAATAAGAGAAACAATTAATTTTTTAAACTAGCTAAAGTTGGCTTTGTACATGTGCATACTTTTCTCAGAAGGTCTTTCATCTTCTTCATGTATTATGTGTTCATCTTCCTGAGGTTTGCTGTCCTTTTCATTACTTTCGATTTCTGCTGTAACAAAAATAGAAAAGAAACTCTTACTTCCACTGGACTGCATTAACAGCTCATTAAAATTTTTATTTTTGGTTAACTATTCAGTTAATAATCTTATGAGATCAGCATTCTAAAATATGAAATTTTGATAGTAAGTACATCAACTGGTACAAATGAATGCCCAAATCCACTTTACAATTGTTTCTGCAAATTCATAAACCTTTAATATAGAAAATGATAATTAGTAGTATAGATTTTAAAAGAATCTTACGTAGTAATTTACTATCACCATAAAATTAATAAAATAACTACTATAAAGCATTTAGATTCCTTTACATTCAATTATTAAAGACTATAGTGGCTGTGGGAGCTCTGGTAGCATAGTGCCTAACATCTGACTGCTAACCAGAAGGCTGGCGGTTCAAACCCACCAGACACTCCTTGGAAGGAAGGTCGGGCAATCTACTTCCGCAGAGATACCATCTCAGAAACCCATGAGGGGTTGCTATGGGTCAAATGGGTCAAATCAACTGGACAGCGTGAGTTTTTTATATAGCGGCTGTAACAATTACAAAATGCAAACCACTGAAACTCAAAACACCTAACATATTGACCAGACAAGGCTGAAACATTATGTTCCTCGACTAGTTTAGAGATAGTTCATAAAGGAATGGAAAGCTATCCTAAAAACACCAAGTTTCACTTAAAAAATAGCTACTTTGACACTAGTGCCAACAAATATTACTTCATATCATTATAATCCTGACCATGAATAGTATTTTTTGCCATCATATATATGAGGAAACTAATGTTTAGAAAAGTTAAGTTATCTCCTAAGATCACACAACTAGTTAGGAAAGAAATCCAAATATTAAATCAATGTTTTTTTCTACTACATCATGATGCCACATCTTTAAGCAGTTATAAAAAGATATTGGAGGGAAGAATAGTATTAAATGTATTATACAAAAAAATATTGCTTAAAATGTCCTCACAACTGCATTCTGCTACAACAAGTAAAATCCCAGAGGTAATACAGTCTTAGTAAAATAGTCTCTACCTCTTCAACTAACTTAATTGTTACATTGGGATTAGGGTTTTACTACAAATCACTAATGCATCTCAATTTCAATTTTTTCTACTTACATCACTACAATTTGTTCCCCAGTGGCTTCAATAAAGCATGCAATGTTTCATCATATCCTGCAACTAATATTAAATAAGCAATCAAAAAGTGTATAACACTATATAAAGATATGACATAACTTTTCCAAATACCAGGGCTTTAATCCTAATGGACCTAATGACAGAAGTCAAGGTTAAAATAATTTAAAAGATCTTTCAGATGAAAATAGGCAGAGAAAAAAACAGGATCACTGTTGAGACTCTTATATTGATGAGACAGGATCATTCTATTGAGACTCTTACAAACACTTCTTTCATATTAAATAAAGCTAACCGAGTACTTGAAGATTACTAAAAATATTTTTTCCACCTTAAAATAAACAATGCATATTATCAAATTAATTTTCCACTTATTACCCTCTGCTCATTAGAAATGTTTAAAGACATAATCCTTCAACTTTAGCTTTAATTAAATAAATGTAAATTTGTTCCTCCTTTCTTGTAAATCACAAATACATCATGAAGCATTACAAATACTCTTTCAAATCTTCCTGAGTTAATACCGAGAATTGGTGATTCCTGAGCTTCCTAGCCCTCAGAGAGGTTCCAGAGACACAAAGTAAATGGGTGGCTTGAGATAAAAGGTTTGGGAAAAAACAAAACACACCAAACCCACGGCAGTGGACTCAATTACAACTCATAGCAACCCTATCAGACAGGGTAGAAATGCCCCATAGGGTTTCCAAGACTGCCACATCTTTCTCCCACAGAGTGGCTGGTAGATTCAAACAGCCAAACTTCTGGTGGGCAGCAGAGCACTTTAACTACTGTATCACCAGGTTTCTTTAAAAAAAAAAATAGAAAGTTTTATATAGCCTTTATTTAGCAAATCTTCGCATCACCTGAAGCACAAAATTAGTTACGGTTCCAATTAGGATACCTTCAATCAAAGTAGTCAGAACACAACAGAATAAATTGGCTTTGTTTGGTCTGTTTCTCTTAGTATGTTTCAGCTCTTTTTCCACTACAGGTGTGTCAAGCTTAGTTTGAGCTTCCTTCATTTCACTCAGAAAACCTTCTATCACCCAATTCCTACTTCCCTGATAAGGCTGCAAGATAAGACTGAGTTCTCAACACTTAAAATATATATTGTGATGTTTGAATAGATATATAGACTATCATGTACTATTAAGAACTTGGAATAAGAAATATAGTATTAACAGATTCTACAAAAGAGAGGTAAGGCCCTATTATTTCTTTCTTTTTTTTTTGGTTCACAAAGTTTCTAGAGAATCTCAGAGTAGACCTTCAACCCAGAGTAAGAAGCAAAGATCCATGTACAGAGACTTTCTTTTATAAAATCTTTCAAAATGTAACTAATTCATTTGATAAAATTCATTTTAATAGACTTAATATTAAAAAAAAACTTTTTATTGCAGTCTGGGTGAAAGTTTAGAGCAAACTAGTTTCCCATTCAATAATTCATACATATTTTGTTTTGTGATAACGACTGCAATCTCCACAACGTAATAAGCACCCATTCCACTTCTTCCCTGTTGTTTAGCATTTCCATTTGCCCTTCTTTCCTCTTCCTTCCTGCTTTCTGGGCTTTATCCCTGGCCAACTGCTGCCCTTTTGATCACCTTGGTTGACTGTTCTAAGGAGTGCATAATTCCCTGTTCATCATATAGGGCTATCTACTGTTTGGTTGGAAGGTTGGGCAATCCTACTTCTGTAGTGATACTGCCTCGGAAACCCAAGGAGGGGTCGCTATGAGTCGGGGCCAACTCGACGGCACATAACAACAACAACTGTCTGGTTGAAAGTTAAGCCATGAGGGTGAGTTCAGTTGCAGGCTTGAAGGGTCTAAGGGCCACAGTCTCAGGGGTTCCACCAGTATCTATCAGACTAGTAAGCCTGATCTTTTTTATGGTTTTGAGTTTTGTTCCACATTTTTCTCTCACTCTATTCAGGACCTTCTACTGTGACCTTGATCAGAGTGGTCAGCAGTAGTAGAGAGGCACCATCTAGTTCTTCTGGTCTCAGGGTCATGGAGGTTGAGGTTTACACGGTCCATTAGTACCTTTGGACAAACTGTTTTGGACAAACTGTTTTATTTTCTTCATTATTCTTTGCTCCAAAGAGGGAGAGGCCAATAGTTGCATCTTAGATGTCTACTCCGCAGCCTTAAGACCCTAATCACTACTCACCAAAGTAGGATGGACTTTGTCTTTTAGACTGTATTTTGCCAACTGACCTAGATATCCCTGAAGACTATGGCCTTAAATCTCCAAGCCTAGTGATTTCATTCCCTCAAGGTATTTGGTTATGGGTAAGAAGTTTCTGTAACTTTGTCCCTCACATAGGCATTTTTATATACAATTTTAGGTGGCTCTTAGGGACTCCTTAAACTCATCCAAATACTCAGGTTAAGAATGATGCTTTTAGAGAATCTGTCTTTATTCACAGAAAGTTACTGTTATAATTACTCTGGTTTGGGACACAGCTTTAAAACAACAGTTCTATTTATGGTATTCCTTCTTTTCAACCAGACTAAACACTCACTAAGGGCTCTCATCAGATTTTGTAATTTTGGTAACTCTAAAACTCTAGAAAAGACTTTAGACAAATTAGGTGCTTAATACCTATCTGGTAACTATTATCTTTAATAAGTAAAGGTAGAAAAATTGTGTTGTAGAGGATTTAAAGACAGAATTTACATTAAGGAGTTAGTTTCCCACTTTCATAATTACATAGGCGCTCTGGTGGTATAGTGTGTAAAGCATTTAACTGCTAAGCAGAAGGCTAGCAGTTCAAACCCACCAGCCACTCCTCGGAACAAAGACTGGGCAATCTACTTCCGTAGAGATACTGCCTCGGAAACCCAAGGAGGGGTCACTAGGAGTCGGAATCAACTCGACAGCAGTGAGTTTATATAATTTTATTCCAAGGAAATATGGATGAAACTATTGCTTTAGAACAAAAGCTGGCAAACAGTTTCTGTAAATGGCCCAAGAGTAAATATTTTCAGTCTTCTCTGTCACAACTATTCAATTATTTCCTTATAGGGGGAATTATCCATAAATAATAAGTAATATGAAAATGAATAGGTATGACTATGTTAAAAACTTTACTTATGAACACAATAGAGATCACAGGTTATAGATGGCCAACTCCTTGTCTTTGATTACTTACTCCACAAGAATATTTAAAACAAACGAAAGAATTTTGTAAGTTTATTACAGACAATATACCCATTAAAAAATGGGCAAAGGAGATAAACAAGCAATTCACAGGTAAAGAAATAAAATGGTCAATAAAGGTAAATATTTTCAAAGTCACAAGAGGTATTAGAAAAATGTGGTATTGGTAATGTGATTATTTTACAGACAGCAATATTTTAAAGTTTTACTTAACCAATACAAATTTCCAAATAAGCTCTCCCTTAGTATATTTCTAAGGAACTCTGGTAGCATGGTGCCTAAAGCATCTAACTGTTAACCAGAAGGTTGGAGTTTCAAATCCACTAGTCACTCCACGAAAAGAAGACTGGGCAAACTACTTCTATAAAGATTTACCACCTCAGAAACCCAAAGGGGGTCACTGTGAGTCAGGATCGACTCGATGGCAGTGAGTTTGGTTTGTTTGTTTGTTTACTTACTTACTGGTATATATCTATGCTCCCTTTAAAGTAACACTCAAAATAAAAGTTGTGTATATTTTATTTTCTCCAATTCTCCTCCCATTGTTTCTTAAACTAAAATCTAATCAAACTTTCAACTCTAGTATTCACCAAAACTGCCTTTCATCAGTATCAACAATGATCTTCAGGTCATTAAACACTGCTTTTCCATCATACTTAGACAAAGCATTATTTGACATAGTAAATACAG